AAGACGAAGTATACATATATATATATATATATAAGTGCCTATAAATAGCATCACTTAACATACAAATCTATTTGAGTGTGGATTAATCAGTACAAAGATTAATACAATTACACAATTAAAATTATATATTGCATAAAAGTGTAAGTTTAATACACTTTTTAGTATGTAAATATTAAAACAAACGCAATATTTCGTTAGACAAACTAGCTTCATCGAGCGTGCATCTATTCAGATGAAATCGGATGCAGATAATAAACTTTTGCGGTTCAATGTTCATTTCATTTGTTGCGTAATTAATAAATTGGATGAAGTTCAAGATTATTTTTCAACGTCCATTGACGAATATTACAGTGATATTAAGGACGATTCCACATAATAAACTTATTCTTGATCTTTCATTGACCTTTTTTCGTCTTTTTCATATAGACCATCTTTATATATATTTATGAACGTTACTATGTTGTAACGTAGAGACAATTTGGTTTGTAACGTCGCGTCAGCAGCATTTTACTTTTAATTTCGGGTTAGCTTTAGCTGGAATTTTCGAATAAAGTATTTCTCGTTGACAGTTCGGAAAGATTTATTTTTAATACATAACTATCAAAAGACTTTTAAAAATATAGAATAAACGGAATTTTCCCATTCCTCATCGGTCAAAATGTTTACTGCAAAATTGTCGCTACGTTACCACATACATGTGGTAACATTCATAAACTGTTTGAAGAGCCGATACGAAGGCTGAAAGTTAATACCATGTAATTATTTGTGTTATGCATTGCTGTACTAAGGAACTTTTCATTTTCGAATACATATATATATGTTACAGGCATTTTTCTAAATTTAGTCATTTTGATTAGCAAAAAAGATGAAAAACAACGTAACCTAATCATGCTAATGTTACTTTGAATCTTTTGGAAACACATGAAAAAGAAGAAATTCATGTATGTGCTGCTTGCTAATCACAATGGTTGTCAAACGTTAGGTGTTCTATCAGAAAAAAATATTGACAAAGCTTAATGTTTGGTGGTCCGGGTTTCACCAACAGTGGATGTAGTTCTAAGACTAGATCTTACGTCAACAGATGTGTTTACGAAAAATCAAAACAAATGTGCATCAGAACATTCTATTCAAACATTGTATGAAATAACAAATAATTTTTGAGTTCAGTAGAACAGTAGAATTTATTATTAACCCTCAACATTCTAAAAATGCAAGCTTAACAGTTCAATAATTATCATAGATATAACTGCTCTGTTGTTCAATAGTTTCAATTGCTCAGTTTTTGTGACATTTCATTTTATAAAATACTTTTCAGGCATTTTGTAAAGTTCCTGAAATAATTTGGCAATATATAATATGCCGGAATCTAATAGGCATTTTAGAAAATGCCATAAGCTTTCAGGCATTTTACAAAATGCTTAAATTTAGAAAATGCTGTAACATAACATAGGTATATATATATAAAAGAGAAAAAAGAAGAAAATGCATATATATTATTGTAATAAAAATCGTTCAAATTGTTCACATTGTTCCTACCGGTTTCAATCCTCACGGAAGATATTCATGGTAAACATATATGTAACACTCCCAAACGTGTCCATCCCCCCAAATATGTCTGATACCCGAAACGTGTCTATTTTGCTCAAATGTGCCCTAAAAATCCAAAATCGCCCAAACTTGTCCTATTTGGCATCCCTCAAACGTGTCCGATAATTGTTATTTGCCAAAACGTCTCCACTTTAAAACACCAGCGCTAATATGTCAGTGACGTCTCCGGCAATTCAATGATGGGGGACACAATTGAAGACGTCGGGTTTCGGTTAGATTCTAAAAAAAGGTAATAGTCATTTATTAGCATTAGTTTGTTCAACGCCGGTTGTTAATATTAAGCATGAATTGCAAGTTAATTTGCAACATAAAGATTAACTTTTGACTGTTGATTGCTAAATGTCCAGTGGAAAATATGTCATGCACTTAAAAATTGCACTTAGTTAGTTTTGTACAGTAAAATTCATCGTTATATAAAGACACATAAACAAGAGGAATAAATTCCAGTGGCAAATGTTTCATGCATGCCCAGGACGATAACATATTAACAATAAACCCAATAGGTAGGCTTATAATTAGGGGGCGGGAGGTTATTTTTTCGGGACTTCGGGATTGGGCCTTTATTTTTGCGGAAAATTGGGATTAAGCCTGCATTTTTAAGGGTAATTCGGGATTTACACTAATCGGGAATTAAATATTAGTTCTTCGGGGTCTCGGAAAGAATGCTTAATTTTTTTGGGAAATTGGGATGATATCCCTTCATACCCCCCTCACATAATACGGGTCGTTCGAAATGCAGGTATGGAAAATTTTGACTGCCACTGGTATATTGGATAGGGACAGAAATGTTGCTTTCCAACATGCCACCGACGGACACCACAAGTGTTGTTGAAAGGGTTCTTAACTTGCAGAGAGAGGGACACTCTCCCTACAGGAGGTATCGAATTTAATTACCACATTCTGACCGGACGTGGCTACATATTTTTACATCCCGCACAACCAAACGGACGCCCCTCTTTGGCAAGGGTTTCACTGCCGGGTGGAAAAATACCTTAATTCCGCTCAAACCGGTGCTAGGGGCCGTCTTAAACTTACAGTGAGGTGAGAGTTTTTCTTCTTTTTTTTTTTTGGCTCCGTGTTGAAAGCCTCACTGTGACTTTGAGATGAAGAACTGAAATACAGCAATACAAGCGCTGTTCCTTTGCTGTGCATATACAGATTGTGTGTCATGGATGGGTACCCCATATCCTTTCTTTTCTATTTAGTGACCATGTTTCTATTCTCCAGCCAACCGTGGGGGTGGGACAATAGATGAAAGAGTAAAATGAGTATACGTCAATAAAAGATAGATATAGGAAGATGTGGTATGAGTGCCAATGAGACAACTCTCCATCCAAGTTACAATTTATAAAAGTAAACCATTATAGGTCAAGGTACGACCTTCAACACGGAGCATTGGCTCACACCGAACAGCAAGCTATAAAGGGCCCCCAAAAATTACTAGTGTAAAACCATTCAAACGGGAAAACCAACTGTCTAATCTATATAAAAACGAGAAACGAGAAACACGTATGAACTACATAAACAGACGACAACTACTGTAATCAGATTCCTGACTTAGGATAGGTGCAAACATTTGCAGCGGGATTAAACGTTTTAATGGTACCAAACCTTCTCCCTTTTCTGTATAACATCGCAACATAGAAAAACACACTATAAAATATCAATTGGAAGGCTTAACTCAATCAAAAAACGTAAATTAACACACAATGAACGAATAAATTTGACCTGTGACACCTGAATGCAAATACACAGTTAATAAAAAATTACAAGGGATAAATAATTAAAGTCAAAAGCAAATAAACAGGTTTAAACAAAGTTAAAGTATGATATCACTGAAATGTCAAACAATTTTTAGAAAATCATCACTTTTGAAGAAACCTGCGTCATATTATACACAGGTAAATGAAAATAATGTTGTTGTTAGTATACTTCTTCTTCTGTGTGTATAAAATCTTCCGTTTAGGAATACCAAGAAATTTCTTTAATATCAATAAAACTAATCTAACACTTGGTACATATGGGGTGAATATCAACAATAAAACTATACAATTAGTGCTAGATAAAACTTTTAGGGGATTGGACACGTTTGGGCGGTTTGTTTTGAGTGGACACGATTTGGCGTTCATAAAAAGGACACGCCTTGGCGCCCTTTAACAACTAGACATGTTTTGCAGTTCAGTGACGTCATATGGACACGTTTGGGAAATGAACACGTTTCTGAGTGCTACATATATACATCTCTTATATATACATGTATATATAGAAACACTCGTTTTTCTAATTCATTTTTTCTTGAGTATATTATTCTGTGCATGAGAACATTTTTTTTCATTTATTTATACATTATATAAACAAAAGGAATAAATGTTGAACTTTATACTATTTACTAACACAATTTTTTGTTCTGATGTATTAACCCTTTGACTGCCAATATATTGGAAAACGCTTTACCTTTGACTGCCAAGAATCGGCCCGGCGTCGTACGTTTTCAAACAGCGCCATGGCAACCTTTACAACAATTGATAACGTCACGCTATTGTGCATGGTACCTGCATAGGATTGCTCGTTTTGATGACACCACACAGCTGTCTGCTTTGTTGATTTATCGCTCTCAAATTTATATATTTAGGCTGTAGGTTGATAAAATAATATAAAAAAATGTACTGTACTAAAAGGTGAAATATATGGGTCAAATGAAATACCTTTCTAATGAGTCATAAAAACAGAGTAGGTGTGTTCGAATAACAAAATTTTACTAAAAGTACTTGACGACAAACTTTTCTGTTGGGTCTTGAAAATGAATAACTTCAAAAAAATTTCAGTTTTTGTGTGTGTTATCTACGGTAATCATTCTTCAACCTCTGAATATTTTTAGTCTGCCCTTCCACGAAATACTCAATTAGAATTTTTTTAAATATTTTTGAACTTTCGAAAATTCCCCCTGACAACCGATCAGACAATATTTTTTTTAAAGTTGAACAAATGCATAAAAGTACATTAAATGATGCTCAAAAGCTAGTAGATACATTTGTCTTTTAAAATACAACTGGCGTATAAGGATCGTACTGATACTATGTGGATAAATTTATCGGTTTTCAAGGGCTAAATTGACAGCGCGTCATCACTACAATGGCTTCCATTTATACGATTATAAAAATTAGGTGGCGTAATGGGGAGATAATTATGACGAAGTAGAATCCTGACTGAAAGGACATTAAAACAAAAATGTTTTTTCGTGGTGAAATTATAAATATTAAAACATATCTGCCGCCGAAATATAATGCGAATTGTGAAAGAAGGTACATTTTTAATTTGTGTAAATGTTTAAAATCTCTCGTAAATGTGTACCACATACTGAGGCACTTTGGACAATAAAAGACACCAGACAAATGTAATTATATAATACAATATTAACAATGTATTTCTGATTAACATTCGTGCCTCTGAAGGCAAGCTGCATGTAGTCCTCTGGTACAGTGCACACAAGAGGTTCTTGATCTTTTTCTTATATTTCGCTTTCTGTCGGAACAAACGACACAATCTCGTTCTTTTCGACCGTCAAGTTTTTTCACTCTTGCTTGCCGATTCACGTTACCATGTCTGTGTGTCAAATGAGCGGACGCTAAACTTTCTATTACAGATTGGTTGAACTGAAGTCGGGACATAACCGGTAATGAGGTGTTATGACTGTATAGAATATACGCGTTTAACATAATGCGGTGAAATATGTGATATATAATTTTTTTCCATACTTTACTGCATTTCCTGTGATCATTATATGCGCCAATCAATTGGTCGCTAAGGTCGACACCGCCCATAAATGTATTATACGCGCCTATGATCCTAGGTTTACCGTTTAGTGTATCAATAGCATTGTAGTAAGTAGACACCAATGTGACGGGTTTTTTTCTGTTGTGGTCGCGGAAACGGCAAAGCATGATTTGTCTTTGTCTAGCGTAAACAGCATTCCCTGCCTGCGGACGTGCATTTTTTATCATCTGTGGCATAGGTCTATTAGTTCTCATTGTGCCTGTGAGATACGTACGCTCTCTCAATAATTTGTTAGCTAAATTAAGTGAAGCAAAAAAGCTATCGGCGAAAACATGAAAGCCTTTCCCAAGAAGATGCGAATTCTTCATTAAATTTATTACTACATTTGTTCCTTGTAATGTTCCAGCAGGAGTGGGATCGAAACGTTTCCCGTGATATACATCCATCTGTAAAACATACCCGGTGACGGACTCGACCAACATCCAGAATTTAACGCCAAACCTTGAACGTTTACTTGGTATATACTGTAACATACTTGTCTTTCCTTTTGTACCAACAAGGGATTCATCTACAGCAAGTTCTCTGCGGGGATTATAATACCGTAAAAATTTCCTGTTAACGAAATCAAGTAACGGTTTGAACCTTTGAGATGGTTTGTAAGCTGGATCATTACGCTTAGGGAGTTTTTTGGTGTCCACTAGGTGCAAAAATTTTAAGATGTTTTGGAATCGGTTTCGACTGAACATACAACGGAACCAGGGTGTAGACTGAGATGGACTGTGCTTATTCCAATATTCTTCAAATGATACTTTCCTAATTAAGCCCATGTTATAAAAAACGGCAAGGAATCCCTTAAACTCAGGTATGGTCAGTTTACCCTCCTTCTGCCACTGCATTTTTCTCGAAAATCGACTGGTTTGGCGAATGGTTTCATTACAAAGATTCTTTGCATATCTACAAAAAAAATCAAAAATAATCATATACATTTATTATATAAAGTCGTAGAATCTTTTATGTAAATATCTATTTTTTTAAGGGAACGACCATATTACTTTGAAAATGTATATTTTTTGGTGGTGGTGATTAAGTGGGGTTATTTTTATTTTCTTCATTTGTTTTTGGATTTGGTGATTTGTTGATGTCTTCGTGCCAGTAACTTATATCCGTTCTTTTTAATGTTTTGTTTTCGTATACTGCCCGAATAACCGTTTCTTTTGAGTTACACGTGCTTTTGTGATATTTTATATCCTGTCATTGGGGCGCTTCCCCTGTATCTGAGCAAGCTGCAACGCAACCACAGAAAAACATAATGTTCATTACTCTTTATTGAGCTGAACGAACAAACAGTCGTGTTAGGCTGTCTTTCTATTATCTTGACCGGTCTACACATACCATTTCAGCAGGTGGATATAAAAGTGAAAAAGTGTTCAAAAAATTTCTAAATTATGTTTTAGAAAGAACAATGTCATAAAATGAAACAACTTGTAATCACAAAGACTTAAATTGTATGACTTTGTTGATTATTTTATTGACTGTGTCATTAACATATCAACGGCGCGTTGGTTCTATATTGATGGTAAAAAATTGCAATATGGCTATGAAAGATACGTCTAGTAACTATAAACTAACTCAGAAAAGATTATTTTACCAACCTGTTTGTTTGTTTGACAAACTCTTTGATAAGGTCAATAGAAAACAGCAAATAAAAGTAAGCTATTGGCGCGGCATCTCTGGGCGGCATATTAATGGGTCCAGTGGGTGCTCTATTAAACGGTGGGTCATTCATTGGCTCTGGTGGGAGAACACGGAACCATGGATTAGGTTCAATTGCAGCCATGTTTTCTTCAGCGCTGCTCAAGGTCTATGACGTCAAGATTACGTCATTGATGCTGCACATCGGCCAAAGCAGTCAAAGGTACATTTTTAAAATCGGCGCGTTTTTTTGTTGTTGTGTGTATGAGGGATACCCCCTTTTGGCACGTGATATTCCAGGTACATGAAAAAAAGAGTATTCTGTACTCAAAGGAATGGTACACAGTATTCAGAAATTAACGTGTTGGTACTCGATACGCCGGAATCATAATTGTTTCTGTTTATGCCCCCACCCACCGGAGGCGGCATTAAGTGACTCTTAAGTGTTAACTTTGACCACCCGTCCGTCCGACCTGGTTTTGGTTTCCGCGCTTAAAACCGAAGTAAAAAGTCGAAGACGATTATGAAAAGTTTATAGAGGGATAAATGCAATAAAAAAATATAACTTAAAAAATAATTCCTTCATGTCATGCTCTATGCTCATTTTAACATGGGTAGTCATTATATTTGTCTATATTTTACACTGAGTGTTATGTCGATTCTAATAGGGCAAATACAGTATTTTTATAGGTCGAAGCGCACGAAAATACCTTAAAAATGTTTGGCTGTTCTCGTTTCCTCCCAATGGAGTCTGTACATTACATTTTCATATTTAATTACTTTAAAAACTAAAAGCAGGGTAAATATGTGTTGTTTGATAAACAATACATAATAAAAGTTTATGTAAGCTGCTAAAATATATATACTTTATTAGAATAACAATGAAAATAACGAAAATATAAACAGTAAATTTGTGCCCAGGTGTCAAACATATTTTGTGCTAATTAGAACACGGCTTTGTTTCCAAGGCGTAACAAGGACGTCATATTAGAATGATAAATGATTTATGCTTTTTAAGTCCCTCATTGGTCCATATGCACGTCAACAAAATAAAAAAAAATTTGGTTTTATTCCTATATCATAAAATTGAGAAAAGAAATGGGGAATATGGCAAAGAGACAACAACCCGACCAAAGAGCAGATAACAGCCGAAGGCACCCGGAGTATGATAAAGACGCATTTATACAATGAAGATATTGGAGCTGGGACGACTTTTAAACATATCCGTTTATTTGGAAAAATCAATCAAAAGAAATATGTGAATGTAATCAAATGACAATGCACTTCTGGGTAATAATGTAATAATAAGGATGGCTGGATCATGATGGGGCTTCATCGAAAGAAAAGTCAATGAGCCCGGTAGCAGAACTCTGAACAACGGCTGATTTTCTTTCCACGCCGGCTTCGCTGGGCGCTGCAAATTCTCTATGACGTCAAGGAACAACGTCACAGCGGAAAACAACATCGGCTTTGGGCCGATCCTTGGCAGTCAAAGGTACTGTTTCTGCATCGGCCAAATCGGCCCTATGGCAGAAAGGAGGTTAAACGCAATGTACAAAAAGCTGCAAAACTATATTTAAAAGAGGTACGAAAAGTTGCAAAATTTTCCAAACAGCATCCGATTTTACCTTAATGGATGCACGCGCCTGATGAAGCTAATTTGTTTAGCGAAATAAAATATAACAACTATTTTTATAACACTCATTAGCGTGATAAAGTTACATTCTTAGGCATTTATATACATATATATTTATATATATAGAATTTAGAAGGGAAAAGGGGAATGTTTAAATAAAGTGTTACGGGATTGCTTCCCTTAGTACATGTAGTAGCTACTTCGGTAGACGTAAGCTAGGGAAATACTTCTTTAGCTCAGCCGGTTAGATGCGTTGCCTTGTAACACAGAGGTGACGAGTTCGAGTCCCGCAGGAGACAACGTGATTTTGTAAGACGAATCCAGCTCTCCGGTTATAATTGGAGCTCAACTTAAAAACCCACGGCGGTAAGAGAGGATTTCTAGCCAGGGTATGTGTTGTTTGAGTCATAATGGTATGATCACTCTTGAGGTGGGTTCGTGTCACGGAGGAGAAACAGTTGTGTTATGGGGGTCATAATGGTATGATGAATCTTGAGGAGGGGAAGTGTGACGAGATAGCTTCCTTTGGTACATGTAGTAGATACTGAGCCAGCCGTAAGCGGTTGAGCTAGGGAAGTACTTCTTGAGCTCAGTCGATTAGAACACTGCCTTGTTACACAGAGGTCCCGGCCGAGTCCCGATGGAGACAAAGGTGTGTTATGAGAGTCATAATGGTATGATGACTCTTAAGGAGGGGGTTATGTGACATGTAGTAGATATTTAGCCAGTTGTAAGCGGTTGAGCTAGGGAAGTTCTTCTTTAGCCCAGTCGGTTAGAGCGCTGCCTTGTAACACAGGGATCCCGCGTTCGAGTCCCGGAAGAAACAAAGTGATTTTGTAAGACGAATCATGCTCTCCGATTACAATATGTATGTGTGTGTGTGTGTGTGTGTGTGTGAACCGTGATGGTATTCCGAACCACGACGGTCACTCTGAAGTGCGATGGTTTGACGCTGAAGTGAGATGGTGTCATTGTGACTTTATCCTGTTGATAGCTACGCCGAAATGCTTTTGTGGTAACGCTGAAGTGCGATGGGATGCCTGTACCAAGTCAAGAATATGACAGTTGTTGTCCATTCGTTTGATGTGTTTGTGCTTTTGATTTTGCCATTTGATTAGGGACTGTCCGTTTTGAATTTTCCTCGGAGTTCAGTATTTTTGTGATTTAACTTTTTTCATAAACTATATTTCTAATGTTTTTCATGTTCACATTTCGATTTAGCATTTAAAAGTCAATTTGTTTATTAGAAGCATTTTTTCTGGTTTTTAAGTAAATAATAGTGATCATCGAGAGTATAACTCGTTTACCCTAGTGTTCTACTTCAAATTAGATATAGTCATGCTCCCGATAAAATAAAAATGGACAGACAGACGTACATGTACGGATTCTTTCAAAGTTTGCCGGCGCTAACCCAGGCTGTATATGCATGGTGAATTTTGACAATTGTGTACCGGTAAAACGGAATCGAACCGATTACTTATAATGCAAGTCTTTGCCTGTCTGCTATTTAGCATTCATGTGAACAATCCTTTAATTACTAAAAGAACGACTTTGTCTATGAACTACGGAGGCCCATTTAAAACCTTGCAAAACCTACGTTGAATTCGAAAAAATCGTAAACATGGATTAAAATCATTATCAATAATTGTATAGTCCTTTATCACGAATTTAACATGGATTAAATTCGTGAAAACAATTTTGCAGAATTAGTTTTTACTTGTTTCTTTAATTCGTGATTTTCTGTTCTTTAATTGGGGAAATATCCTATTTCAGGACCTACCTATTGTGTTAATTGTTTGTTGATTTATTTCTCGTCCTGAACATGAAATATTTGCCACTGTACGTAAAAAAAACATCAATTAATCTATCAAATTCACTTTTTACGGGAGTGTTTTTTTTTAAATAGCTAGGTAATACTTTGTAGTAGAAAGCAAAATGCTGCAAGGTTGTAGATTGCCTTATATCTGTAGGATTATAGTATAGCTTACATACCGAACGGGAAGTGCTGTCTTTTCCATTTATTCATTTAATTTTTTATACTCAGAAGGGAGAGTAGACACAAGTTCATATGCCATGTTTACGAATTCTGTGAACTAGATTTTCATTTACCTCCTGCACATGTGTCGGAATATTGGGTTGTCGGACTAATTGGGTTTCGGACCAATGGGGTGACGACTTGTCGACATAGCGGAGCGAATCCGCATACACAGTATTTAAACAGGTATGATTTGAGCAGTTTCCACAGAATATAAGAAACACTATTGTGTCATTTGGAAAGAAAGGGGAGATAACTAATAGCATCACAGCTACTTACCACTTTCTAAGCAACAAATATTTAACTTCCTAACATATTTCCGGGATAAGAATACCGAGTGAGTAAATAACAATACGTGTTGTAAAGAAAGTTTTGAGGTCAAAAAGAATTATCCTGTCCACACGACTGTAAGTTCAAATTGTAAAATTCAGTAGTATCAACATAATATAAAAATTCAGACTAAATTTGTCCTGGGGCCGAGTGTTTTGCTGGGGAGGCGGCATTGTATTGTTTGTAGTTTCGCAAATACAGCGGTTGGTTGAATTTCCGTCAAATGAGTACTCACTCTTATGTCCAGTTTAAGAGTATTGTTATCATGGTTATACTGTATAATATAAGACTATATTCAGAAGCAGCTATAAAGTCTGTCATGTGTTTCCAAGAGAAAATATTTTCCTGAAATTAATTCCCCCTTTACAAATAAGGATCAATTCAATATTTGTGCATTCTTCTCCAACTATTATAATACTACCCATCCAGAAATATGTATTGCCTTACTGTAAATCCTTCAAAAGAACTACTTTAAAATATTTTGCTTTGTTGATAATATTTAAAAGTTTTGTTTCCTGGTTAAGGGTAATGGGATAAAGGTAAATTTCCGGGTTAAGGGCCATTCATGGATAAGTGAATGACAGATGTTGAAAATTCACCAATTCTAATGTATAATTGCCTCTAATCATAGTTATGTTTTTTCTCATAAAATTTGACACTTTTCTTTCAATCACTTTGTGTCGCATTTGAACAGTGTCAACTGCTGACTG